TATATATATATATATATATATAACTTAACCACAGTGATTTGTTGATTTCATTATAAAGATTGTTTTATATTGTTTGCATAGTATGTAGGACTAGCCTAAATCCCCTAAAGTGGCTGAATTTTGTGAGGTATTATTTGGTTTATGGCCAAAAATTAATTTTAATCTTTATAAATATATGCATAATAAAAGTATATTTAATTGGCTATACTGATGGCTAGGTTGATTTTTAGTGTAAGTGCATACTTACTCTGATCTAAGGTTGTTATTATTTATTATGTACATAAACACACACCTGACAATGATTGCCGCATTGTCTGTGATGGTCAGTGGTTATGCCATCATAGTGTTTAGCTAGTCAGTTTCACAATGTGGAATATGTCTGTAATACTATACATTGAAGTATTTAAATGAACTCAGTAACAATTGTGCAGCATATTCTAGTTTTAATAGCAATTTTGCAAATAAAAAATGTATAATGGTAGGCCATGTTTTTGACATTTTTCCATTGTATTATTTCAATCAGACAATCCAACCAAGTTATTTAGAAGTCATTGGTCTCTTGGTTTTTTAAATTTACCCACTACGAAAAAATGCATGAAGGCCAACATTAATACTGCAGCAGTTGCTTCTTGTTAACAATCAATTTAAATGGGAAATGCATATCTCTACAGAAATTATAACAAAATATTGAGTATTACTTGCCAAAAGGATGTATTGTGATGTAAGCAGTATTTACTACTGGTATTTTTGTACCTCATTTTCAGTTTTTCATTTCTTATCATAAAGTTATTTTTCTAGGATGTCAAAAAAAAAGTAATACCTGGGATCTAATGATCAAAACATCACAATTTTAGGACAGTGAACTCCTTTTGAAGTCAAAGGTCATTGGCAGAATACCCATTAAGGCAACCCATATTATACTTTGAATTCCTAATGAGGAGTTATTGTCAAGAGGGATCTTATTGACATCCCTAAGTCAGCAATTCTTGCTTAACTATCCAGTCAGAGTATATCAACAGGGTAAAAAGATGATATATATTTATCATTCTTTATCTCCTTACAGGATACATTTCTGAAACCTGTTGATAATGCCACAATTTAGAGATTTTCATTAATAAGAAAGTACAAGCTGTGTAATGGACTATTCTTGGAAGAGTAGCATTGCTGGTTGACAGACATACTCCTTCTATATCTGTGTCAATCACTTCATCTTTGAAGGCCATTGCCATTTGTGTCTCCATTGGCTACATCATGATGCTTCACTGTACTCTCTTTACCTCTCACCAGGATAAGATCCATCAAGTAGAACTTGTTGATCTTTTGTACAGTTGCCATCTTCCTTTATCATCCTAGTAGACCATTTATAATGATGGGAGGAGTAGATATGTAGAGTGTTTCCTCTTAAATCATAGCCTTTCTCTTTTCAGTACTGGAGAATACACATATTTCCATGCCCCTAATCAGGCATTTACTATTATTGATCTGTCCATTTGTTTCCCTTTTTTTTTCTTGTAAAGTGACTGCTGATCCTTGTAACAGTGATCACTTTTGCAACATTCAAAGAGACGTTAGCTGCATTCATTACAATCTGATTTGTGTCTTACAGTGGAGGCTTGAAAAGGCCAATTGGCCCTCCTTCTCCACATTCTCAGAACTTAATCCTGCTGTCATTAACTTACCATTTGTTAACAACAGCATGGAGACAGTGACTGATCATGTATTTCACATAACTGTGGTTACCCTCTCTAAAACCTTGACATATTTTTTCTACACTATCCTTATTCATATTGAACCCAGTAGAATAGATATTAATACCATTACTAAAAACTTCCTCCAGCAGTTGCAAACAACTAGCCCATATACCACTGACTTTCAAATTTCTAGTTAGTCATCAAATATGAGGTATATGAGCAATAAATTTAAACTGCCTTCCATAAGTCATGTCGAAGACCAATGCATTTTAAAATTTTCATTGTATGAAATTGTTTGCATGCATATTTGCTGTGAATGAGTATTGCACTAAGATCCAAAGCTCCAGTTGATGGCATGCACAGACTTTTATTCCATACACACATATAGCAACTCCAGGTCAGGTGTACAAAGGCACTGAACTTCCTTCTTGTCCTCTCTTTCATCTCCTGGGGAATGGATAGATACTCCATTCTCTGAAGTTATAGCACCATCATTCAATCCAAACTAGACCAAATAAAAGCCTCAGCCACAATATCAACATTGAAGATGTTAGATCCTGTGTGTCATAACAGGGACTTTCCCCACTTCTCCAACCTATGATTTGTACATGGTGTCCTGTGAACTTCTACTTAATAATCAATGTAAGCATCTGATTTTGCAATATGCTGCAAAACTAGGATCTCTTTTCACAACATCCCTTCTGACAATGTGTTTTCATTGCTATTTGCAAACAGACGATCTACTATTCCTATTTATGGCCTAAGTTTTCTGACATAATTGCATGAGATGTGCCTGACATTGGATGTAGTGTGAATTCAATGACCAGACTCTCCCTTCATTGACTTGTTTTCATCCCCATCTCCTACTATGACCTTTCACTGAGTCACCATAAGAAGTCCAATACTAATGAATAAAAAATACCAACTTATATTTACCAAACATCTCTCTCTAACCATTTTTTTTTACTGATATCTTTGCCATAATTTGCTTTGATTCTGTTATTGCTCACAGAATTCTATTTCAGAATATTCCATTCATAGCATAGTTGTATGTAATCTAGTGCACTGTGGATCACATCAAAGCTAAGCAATATTATCTATATGGAATCAGCTCAGTGAAGGCTCTGGAATTTGTCAGCTTTAGCTGTCATTCTCTTCACTTTGAAATTCACAAACAAATTGCAAGTTTATCTTTGTCATTACTGTCTATCCAGTTTTAGTAAATTTCAAACCACTTGGAACGCTGAAGAACTCTTGACGCTCATTCTTTACTGGCCAACAGTGATTGGCCATCTATTTTCTCTAGACATCATAAAGTTGAAGTTGTTGTTGTAAGGTTTAATATTGGTCATAAGTTTCTTATATAGCAATATGTGAGTAGTGTGACACTGAACTCTCCATTGACCACATTTTACTTGCATACCATACTATCTCTAGTACTTTCAGACATGGTGTAACTCATTATGTACAATTTCAGTGTAATTTTTTAACTATACTTTTTTGTCTTGTACACTTGGATTTGATTTATAATTTTTTTCATTATCTTTTTAACAAAATATAGTGTGGCACAGATAAATATTCTAGCTTTGTAGCCACAAACCCCTGAAATAACAAAAGCAGCTTCACTGGCTTAAGTATTATAACACCATACAATTACATGATTTTTGTGTACAATTCTAAAGTAAGGGAGTTTTATATATTTTTATATAGATATATATAATTTGTTTTTAATTAATACATCAGAAAAGACAGTTTAAACTGTACCTATAGATTTCTTTATAACAAATATGAAATCTGTTTCTTCAGCTTTGTGTATTAGTTTATGACTTTTTTGGTGAGTTTTCCAAGGTTTTTTTATATTATTTCTATGTCAGAAATTTTTACTTGTATTTTTGAAATGTAATACCAAATTTTATTGGTTTGCATAGTGTATTTTGTATCTTCAAGGTCATGACAGGTAGCCATGATTGCACCATTAGGTTGTGGGACTTGGTTGCTGGAAAATCCAAAGTCACCCTTACTCATCACAAGAAGAGTGTCAGAGCACTTCTTATTCATCCAAAATTGTAAGTTTTTATGTTTACTGGGTTTTGTATTAGAATTTTAGAAATTGTCATTGTGAGTTAAAATGAGATAGAGTATTAATTTTACTTGTATCCTCCTCTGGTATTGGACAGAGCAGTGACAGTATGCATATCTGTAGGTAAATTATTCGTAAAGTTTGTTGTTTATTTTGTGTAGAAGAACAATGTAAAAAAAATACAAATATGTACTGAAAAAGTGACTAATAGTACTTATTTTATCAGTAGTGCATATAAGCACCTAATGGATGTAAAATTGGCTAAGTGGTGTAATCAAAGTTACATTTGCAGTTTTTGTTTTCATCCAACCCATTTAAAAAGGTAAAATTCAAATTCATGATAATAAAAGCTTGAACTAATGTTCAGCAACCAGCAACTTACCAATTAAGTTCGGAAAAATTTATGTGAAATATTAAATTTAATTTTTGGAATAGTTCATTTCCTACACAAACATCTTCTATAATGGCTGGAGACGGCTAATGGGTAATGAAGAAAAACTTTAATATAAGTTTAACATAACAGCAAATGTACAACGTTTCAGCAAGACTTAACACCTATATTTGATAAACCAGGTTTAAAAATGTCAGTTAACTAAAAATCATGTATCTTATTAATTCCAGATTAACTTTTATTTTACCATCATAGAATAATTTTTTGGAATCAGTCTTGCAGTCCTCAATTTGATAAGATGTAATCATTTTAAATATAGGGTTCTCTTTATAATTACCAACTTTAATATTTAATGTAGGAACATGTTTGCATCAGGAGCACCGGATAACATCAAACAGTGGAAATGCCCTGATGGAAAGTTTATTCAGAATTTACAAGGACACAATGCTATTGTCAACTGTTTAGCTATGAATGTTGACAATGTTCTTGTCTCTGGAGGTAACCGTTTCTTTGTTACTTATACTCATCCTTAGGCTGATATATTGCAGAATCTCCAAAACTTGTTGATAATTTTTTTTTTCAAACCTGTAATTTTTAAAACTGTTTCTGCTTTTCGGGTACAGCATCAGTAATTTTATCTTACTTGCAATGCCAAAATTCACCTAAACTTATGGGCTGTTGTATTATGAATAGGTTAGTAAGCTGTCTAGATTTTTATTAAAACTGAAATGATTGTATTGCCAACCACTTGAGGACTATTTTTTACAAGATGTGGGATGAACAGGTAATATATTCACAAAAATATTAGTATTTTGTGTTAAACTTTGTAAGTTTGGTTATCAAATTCTCATAATTTCTGGTCATGTTTTATAGAATATATGCTTACTCAAAATGGAACCTCGGCATGGCTAGGTGGTTAGGGCACTCGACTCGCAATCTGAGGGTCTCGGGTTCCAATCCTAGTCCCACCAAACATGCTCACCCTTTCAGCCATGGGGGCATTATAACGTGACAGTCAATCCTACTATTTGTTGGTAAAAGAGTAGCCCAAAAGTTGGTGGTTGATGATGACTAGCTGCCTTCCCTCTAGTCTTACACTGCTAAATTAGGGATGGCTAGTGCAAATAGCCTTCGTGTAGCTTTGCCCAAAATTCAAAACAAACAAACAATCAGGATAGAAACCTAACACACACACACACACACATCTCCCCTCACAATTTATCTGGAATATTATATTCTAATTTTTTGATATTTATGTTTTGAGTTAAAATTATCAAAAATGCCTGAAAACAAATTTTGTACCCACACAAAATTGTCTTTTAACTTCTGAAGCTATATAGTTTTTAAGTTTAATTTTAAATCAATGAATTTAAAAAAAAGAGATAAATTTAACATTTTTATTATTTCTTCATCCTTTTCCTTTCTTGCATAATCTACTTAAAGCTTCTCTATCTGTAACTATTTCTTAATGTTCTATTAGTTATTTTGTATGAATAGTTCACTTTACGTTACTGTACGTATAGGTGACAACGGGACATTATTTTTCTGGGATTGGCGGACAGGATACAACTTTCAAAGGCTCCAAACACCTGTACAGCCTGGGTCCATAGACAGTGAAGCTGGAATTTTTGCTGCAATCTTTGATCAAAGTGGGACACGTTTAATCACTGCAGAAGCAGATAAGACCATAAAAATCTTTAAAGAAGATGATATGGCTGTAATTATTTAATTTTTATTTGCTAACTCAGATCTAAAATATTATAATTAATGTTACAAGATTACAGTGTTAATCATAATTAAATATAGAATAGTTTTTGTTTTCACTAGCAGATTTATGGTATTAACTAGTAATCTGACAGTTTTTCGCTATTCAAATGAAAATAATTATTTCAATGTTTGTTCACTGTCAAATATTAGTAATTAATAAAAAAAACAAAAAGATGAAGTAACACATTTTTCCATACTTAATTTAAGAACCGATATATTAATTTGTTGTTTTTTGAAAAACCCTGTACTGATACTCTAATGATTGGCATCACTGTTTTAGGTTAAATAATTATTTGCATTTGTAATTATCTAGCAATACTTTTCATTGAAATGTTTAGTTTCCATGTCAGTTTTTTCAGTGAAGATAATTTGGATGTTTTTTTTTTTTTTGTGAACAGACAGAGTTTAATTATTATTAATTTAAATAAATATTTTATTATTTTCAGACTGAAGACAGCCATCCAATCAACTGGAAACCAGAAATTATCAAACGAAGACGTTATTAATTTACTCTTATTGTTTTGTATTCCAATAAAATTTCTTTTATGAATAATGGTAATTATATGTTCAATGCTCAGTGTGTATTATTAAATTACAAAACAGTAAAAATCCTATAACCCGAGTGTTTTCGAAAGGTGGACCTTTCTTCTTCAAGGGTAAACTAGGAATGATGATGTAACTGAATGAGCGATATATAAAGGGAGTTGATTGATGTCATGAAGGTCATCTGGGCTTTCAGGGAGTGCTTTTGTATATTTTTGTAAGTGTGTCTCGTTTCCGTGGCAACATGGCTGGAAATGAGAGCATTATGTAAAAAGTTGTAAGAGATATCTTGCTTTATAAATGGTCAAGAAAAAGTATACCTAAGTGTTATTAAAGTAAAATAAAGGTGACACATGGAGATTGACTGAAAAAGAAATGTTAAGCAGATCAATTTCTAAAGACAGGCATGGAAAATTATCATAAATAAATATTAAGTGTTAGAAAGGTCAGGGGCAAATATTGAGAGTTCACACTACACGAAAAACGAAAAAAATAAATAAAAATTATTTTTCTGACAGAGAACGATCCAATGATTGGAGATTGCTGATTCCAGGATCTAGATATATTCCACAAGGTTGAACAGTATTTAGATTAGCAATCCAATAAGCTTCTTTTATCTCCTTATCAGCTTTAGTTTTAAAGTTGGTTTCAATGCTGATGAGAGTAACATCATTAACTGAATGACTGGGTTGGTTGAAGTGTTTATTGGTGTTAATAAATGACTTATGGTTGTTGAAACATTCTTTAAGAGCCATTTGATTATGTCCTACATACCGGTAATTGCATTTTTTACACTGTTTAAGGTAAATGGTATTCTATGTTCCACAAGTGATTTCTTTAGAAATTTTTAAGTCTCTCTCTGGTTGTGCTTGACAAAAAAAAAAAGTCAGTAGTTTTTATGAACTTACAGGTTTGACAATGAGCTTGTTTTCAGCCATGTTGCATCAAAAATGAGACACGCAACAGTACATTGAAAAATATACAAAACAATTCGTGGAAGCTCAGGTGATCTTCATGACATCACTCAACTCCCTTTTATATCATTCATTCAGTTACATCATCATTCCCAGTTTACCCCTGAAGAAGAAAGGTCTACCTTTTGAAAGCACTCGAGTTATAGGGTTATTATTGTTATATATTACATGTTCTGATTATTAAATTACAGTTATTTGCACAATGTCATAGAATTTGGTCTTTTTGACTGATTTTCTTTGAAAGTTATTAAAATACATCTCTGTTAATTTTTGTAAATCAAAGAAAATCATTTGTCACTTCAGAAGAAATTTCTTTAGCTTTAACGTTTTTAACAGGGCCAATACTGCTCTGTGCTGGGATTTTCTTGACATTATTAGTAAAACTCACAATGCAAGAGTGCTGCTTGTACATTATGGTAACACTTTAATTGGTTCACAACTAGAAAACATTGGGGTCTCTACTTTTAATATTGGATTACAAATTCCATTATTTATTTGTTTCATGTTAGACAGATGGTGGGAAAGGTGCATAGCAACAATTTACAAGGTGGAAATTTCTTTGAGGAACACAGCAAAACAGTGTGAGAATAAAAAGCATACTATGTCTGTATAAAAAATTCGTAATGTACTGACCTGCCACACAGAAAGATGACAAAAAACAACTCTTTTATCCTCCTCCCTCCCCCCATGTTAGGAGTACTGCTTACAACATCAAACCCCTGGCGAGTTATGTCACAGTACCTATGAGTTCCCATTTATACAATATATAAAATCGTAAACAAGGATCTTTCACCAGAAAGAAGAAAATTTGAAGAGAAGAATTCATAATCTATTTTCAAAACACATTGTAAAAAGTCTAATGCCTGGAAGCTGTACAAGTGGGAGGTAAATTGATATGTCACATACAATGAGGCCTGGATATATATATATATAAGTAGTTGCAACACTCGGAGTAGTTTTCTATCTTCCAACTGGGAGAAAAAACTTTTCAAAAGTGGTACCAAATGTGCTGTAAAAGTTTCTCGAAAGGTTTTTTTGGTGAACTAAGAGTGAACTGGTGCTTGAGAAAAAAAAATCCCTCATCTTTATGGCAGTGTGTAATTACAGCTGTTAAATGGCACTAAAACAAAGCCATACTTCTAATTCAACATTACATTTTTTGAGAGTAATGGAAGAGAAGGTGCAGATTTAGGCTATTTTTAGACATTCCAGTGATAATCAGATGCAGCACCTTTGGATTTATTTACATTTAGTCTCCCAAAGTAAACACTAGAAAGTTTGCATCAAATGTCCAAGCATTGCCAAGACAAGTGGAACAGACTTAACATCAAGGCTCTAGCGTAAGAATGTGAAGTAGAAACTGTAATGCCTATCTATCTGCAATTCATGACCACCAGATGCAGCACTTTAGATGATGAAAGAAATTTGGTAAGCTGTTCAAAAATGTGTCCATAACATGCTCAATTACTCTTTGTAAACTAGATGTGTTTTTATATACTGCCTTACCTTTTCTATTAGATTTGGTAACTATTTAAATTGGATATAAGATTTTTTTTTTCTAAAGAAAAGCCCCTCCATCATTAAAGAAAGAGTGCTTGTGCATTGATATACTGTGAACAGAGCGGAACATGTCACAAGAAACTGCTTATGCTTTAATTTCCATATTATATAATAATTATAAAGGTACTATTGGAAACTGGCTAATCAAGTCACTAATTTCATGAAGATAAAGGAAGATGTTCGTGTGAGTAACGTATTTTCAATCAGTATAATACTTTGTCAAGGCCTTAATATCAAATAGACGTTAAAATTTAACTTTTTATCAAGGTAATTGAAACAGTGATATAGAAGACTTTAATAATGAGTCAGTTGTGCTTAGAACTTGTCACTGTTAAGCTTTAGATAGTTTCACATAAACTCAAAGTAGAGATGACCTACCCTGCAATATTTCCAGTAAGAAATAGTGCATAGTTATCTACATATGTAGGATTATAAAACTAGACTGCGACTCCCTTTCATCAGTTTAGTAACATAAACGATGAACAGAATATCCGTAAGTAATTAAAAAACGGTTATATATTCGATTACAGAATCATGGCATATTATATCTATCAAACTAGCAGTCGGAAAAACACAAAATTTCTACGATAGATTATCATTTTAACAATGTGATTAGCTTTAAATTTCTTATAGGGTGTACCAATCAGTAATATGACACTCTGAAAGGTTAAAGCAGAAGAATTAAATAATAATTATGACGATGATGTAGATTTACGTCCTTAGTGCCTGCCTATCAAAGAAAGATTTCTTCCTTTCTCCGACTAAAATGACATATTGAGTGGAGGGAAGATCTGAGTAAGGGTAATACAATTTCCAAAACTAAAAGTTGTCAGAATAAAAATCGCATTATAGTCGTTTTCTACAAAGTCACAAGTTTCTTGAACTTCATCTCCTTATACAACTTTGGATTAGCCCATAAAACATGGAATTTCTTAGTTTTGCCAAGTTTAAAAATTAACATAATTTCTGTAGTTGAACTTTTAAAAACCATTTTTTTCTTAGGTGTTTTAAATTATTAGACTATAATATAAAAGTTCCACTTATCAACTTGAAAGGGGTGCAGGTAGCTTATTTAGTGCTGAAGTATTATCTGTTCTGGTATGTTTCCCACACTGCCTCTACGTAGTGGCACTTTCTTTGACACTTACGTCAACTGCGATACTGATATCTAAATGCTGTGCCTTAATGATAACCGTAAGTTCAAGAGAATGGCTTCCGTTTCTACCAGGAAGTAACTGAGGATCGTGAAAAATATCCATTTATATAATTGTAAAATAGGGTAGAGTGAAATTTGAATTTTCTAGCGACACTAAACTTAGATAGTCAAGTATCGATAGCGAAAAAAATTAATATATGGTGACTACCATTACCAAATAACGTCTATAGTTGATAAATACTTACTAGGCTGTGTTTATGGTTTTGAGTTATGGCTTATATAAACCACCTGCTGCTTGATATTGTGACAACTGAACTGAACCTACTAATAATTCCAAATTTGTTACAACATTGATTGGTATTAAATTCATAAATATGATAGAAATTGAATTTTGAGATGTGTATATCTTAAATCTTGGGTTTACTACTAGAAGAGAAATGATCTACAATTTTTCAACAGTTACGTAAGCTTAATGTTTTCAACCATATTTAGATAGCAGATAATTCAACTGCTCTGGCACATTTATCCAATACTTTGTTTGTAGTTATGCACAATGGGCTATCTATGCTCTGCCCACCACGGGTATCGAAACTCGGTTTCTAGCGTTGTATGTCCACAGAAATACTGTTGTGCTACTGGGGGACCTTATCTTAATACATTACTATTAATGCTCAGTCTTGTAAAACAACTGCTGTAACTTTTGTGCTCACATTTTAAAGATAACAAACACTTAACTATGATATGAAACACAATACTCGTACATCATATTCGTGTTAGAATATTTGAAGAAGCAGTTCTCATTTATTTGGTAGTGATATAAATTATACTCTGAGGTAAAAGCTACTGTTTTGTGCTACAATTTACGAAAATAAAATGTGGAAAAGCCTGAGAGCGGGGTAATATAGTGTACATTAAATACTACTCATATAATAAAACAACGAAAATGTGATTTCATTAACGATTTCATGCAAGATATTTCTGTTTTAAAATAATAACATTTCATCCTAGACCAAGATAAACGAATTCGTTTGAAAGAAGTTTGGGTGATTATAAGAAGTAATCTGTGGCTACTTATTAACCTGAAGATTTTTTTATGGGTCAACAACTGATGATCTTGTGAAGCTGATTGCTTTATTTCAAGTCAAACATTACATATAAGTAGAATAAACTATGATAATACTTTAAGTCAGTATAAAGTTGTGTTTAAAAATTGCAAACTCTGAATGTTAAAATCGATTTTTTGTTTGTTTTTCACTCACGTTAATTTCTATACTTAAGGTTAGTTTACACATGATTGGCAAACTTACAAACACATAA